AAAACAAGAAGTTTACCTACCTTCTCCCACTTAGATATGGGAAAATAGAGAAGGCCAATGCCAGAAACAGACCAGTGAGGCTGAGGCTCAGGGAACAGGAAGGTGTGAGGAGTTAAGTAGAAGCTTTCACAGAATTTCCTCCCTTCCTCCCTACCCTTCTTGAGTCCTCTTCCACCCTGCCCCCATTTCCTCAGCACCAGCTGTCACCAGTAAAATGGGCAAGGATCTATTCTGAATGTGATGCTGCCACTGACCTTGCCCCAGTGATTCTACAGGAACTTAAAGGTACTTGGAGACCAGGGCCTTCAAGGGATAGCGTGTGAAGACCTCTCCTGTGAATCAGGAGATAGAATCCATTTTTACTTTGCCGATTCTTTTCTACATATTGGTTTATGATTGAGAGAGAACTCAGAAATGTCCAGACAATTACTATTAAGTACATGATAAGAATAAAATGCCGAATGGAAAGTACATAGTTTCTGCCTTCCATCACTTATTCTCACTGAGAAGGGCTCAGGAAGGAGGGAATCATCCCTTTCCTGAGCCATGTAGATAAATGGCAAGGGGAATCAGTTCCCTGGGTCCCCATCCCAGCCCTGCAATGCTCAGGGAATCCAAAGGAAATAATGGAAGCAACTATAAGCTTCCCCCACCTCTTGCCAGTTCAGTAATGGAAAATCATGCGAGGAAGCTGGCTTTCTGCTTTTATCTTCCAATGCCATGACCTATTCCAGAAAACTACCATGTCTCCCCACGTCTACAGGGCAGCCAATTGCTACGAACACAAGATGGATGTCTCCCAACACGTTGGTGTCAAAGACTGGTCAGCACTAAGCTGGGATCGATGGCAGGAGGGTGGGCCTACATGTTCTCTCACTCATTTGTGATTCTCCTTTTAATGATCCTTCATGATTTCACCTAGTGAACCTTTTTTTTTTTTCACCTTTAAGTAGTATACAAAATACTTGAATTTTAAAACATTTTCTCATTATACTACCAAAAATCATCTTATTTTATTGATTGATTATTTATTTATTTATTTATTTATTCATTCATTCATTCATGAGAGACACAGAAGGAGAGAGAGGCAGAGACACAGGCAGAGGGAGAAGCCTGACATGGGACTCAATTCTGGGTCTCCAGGATCACACCCTGGGCTGAAGGCGGTGCTAAACCGCTGAGCCACCGGGGCTGCCCTTATTTTATTTTTTTTTTAATATTTATTTTATTTGAGAGAGAGCTCAGGAGCAGGGGGGGGGGGGCAAAGGCAGAGGCAGTGGGAGAGAATCTCAAGCAGACTCCCCACTGAGCACAGAGCCCAAAGCAGCGCTTGATCTCAAGACCCTGAGATCATGACCTGAGTGAAAATCAAGAGTCAGATGCTTAACCAACTGGGTGACCCAGGTATTCCACCAAAAATCATTTTATTTTATTTTTTATTTATTTATTTATTTATTTATTTATTTATTTATTTATTTATTTATTTATTTATTTATTTATGATAGCTACAGAGAGAGAGAGAGAGAGGCAGAGACACAGGCAGAGGGAGAAGCAGGCTCCGTGCACCGGGAGCCCGACGTGGGATTCGATCCCGGATCTCCAGGACCACGCCCTGGGCCAAAGGCAGGCGCCAAACCGCTGCGCCACCCAGGGATCCCCAAAAATCATTTTAAATTCTCTTAATGGAAAAAAAAATTCTCTTAATGGTTCACACATACCACATGATAGTAGGCTGTAAAATGTCCCCTCCCCCCAAGATGTCCCTATCCTAATCCCCAGAACCCATGAATGTTACTTTCTATGGTAAAGGGGATTTTGCAGATGTAATTCAGGATCTTGAGATGGGGAGATTATCCTGGATTATCCAGATGTTTATCACAGAGTTTTTATAAGAGAGAAGCAGGAAGATTTGAGAGAAGAATGTGACAACAGGAGAGGGTGAGAGGTAGAGTTCAAAAGACGCTTGCCTGCTGGCTCTGCAAATGGGAAGATGGGGCTCCAAGCCAAGGAATGCAAGCAACCTCTAGAAGGTTTAAAAAAAAAAAAATTGTAAGGAAACATTCTCTCCTAGAACCTCTAGAAGGAACACAGTACCACAAGTTTGCTGACTACATGAGCAATGGCCCTCTGGACAGTTGGTGAGTCTTTCTCCTCGATGACACCCTACAAGCATTCATGTTTAATGACCTAAAGCAATGGTTCACAAGGTAGAACCAGTGGCATCAGTGTCACCTGCAGCTTGTTATAAATGCAACTTGCTCTTGGGGCCCTACTTCAGACCTATATAATCAGAAACTCTAGGGATGAGGCCCAGCAGAGATTTAACAGCCTCTCTTGAGGAGGCGGAGAACCACTGGTTAAGAGTTGCACATTACTTAAAGAAAATTGATACCATCTAAAACAGTCTCACAAGAAAGTCAATTTTGTTTTACCTCAATTTTTTTAAAAAGAATGTATAGAGCCTATTAATACCACAAGGAATTATTTGTAGCTTTTGGAGAAAGACGGTGCTAAAGAAAACGCAGTGGCTTTATCTAACTGATGTCCTCTGTCGTGTGTCAAACTTCTACCTAAATGGCACGCCAGAGAGACTTTTCTTTCACCCACTCAAGGGACACTCTCCAGAGGTTTCAGATCTTATTTTTAAAGAATCACTTGTGAGGGCAGCCCGGGTGGCTCAGTGGTTTAGCACTGCCTTCAGCCCAGGGTGTGATCCTGGAGACCTGGGATCAAGTCCTATGTCGGGCTCCCTGCATGGAGCCTGCTTCTCCCTCTGCCTGTGTCTCTGCCTTTCTTTCTCTCTCTCTCTCCCTCATGAATAAATAAAATCTTAAAAAAAAAAAAAAAAGAATCACTTGTGAAAAGAATTTGTGCCCTCCCCATCTTAATAAAGGATCTATTACACAACTAAAAAAAAATGCATTATTCTTTTAAAAGGACTCCCATTAACCTCACAAACAGGTATTACAGGAGGAAAAATGGGTAATTTTGTTGATCCTCTGACACCTTGTCTTCTGTTTCTTTAATTACTGCTTATTCTTTCTTGAGTTAAACCACTTCATTTATATTCAGACTTTTCTATTTTCCTTTATAAACAGCTTTAGCTGTATCTCAAAAGTCTTAATACATTTTATTACCCAGCTCTAAGTATCTTCTGCTTGCCATTATATCTCTTAGGTAGTCCATGATTAGAGGTGTGTGTTTCTAACATCTGATTTCTAACACAAATGAGAAAACACAATCTGTATCATTAAGGGTCAGCAAACATTTCCCATAGAGTCTGTTAGTAAATATTTTAGGCTTTGGGGGCCAAGTGGTCTCTGCTGAGAGTACTCATCTCTCTGCCTTCCGCTGCCCTAAAGCAACCAATAAATGAGAGTGACTGTTTCCACAAAACTTTAGCTAAAAAGGAAGGCAACTGGCCTGATTCAGCCAACAGTCATAGTTTCCAACCCCTGGTCTAAATACCACCAATTCTTTGGACACTGTTAAGATCTGATGGTCCCTAGTACTGTTCCGTAATGTTCAGCGCTTACCCCAAACCCTACCATCATCTTTTCCCTCCACCTGCTACTCTTCTCCCCTAAAGTTCAGGCCTGGCCCACATAAGCACTTACTTTTGTTAAGCTGTCACAGTGCTTCACATATTGGGTTTCTGGAATCGGAGAGGCCCAAGGTGCCAGCCTCACCACTTCCAATGGGTGGTTTGGGGCAAATTACTTAACATTTCTAATCCTCAAGTTCCTCACTTACAAAATAGAGAAAATAATACTACCTACCTCTGGGGGGGTTGGCCTAAGGAAGGATTTACTTAGATAATCCATACATAGCACCTGGCAGAGGGCCAGGCAGGCTTCAACAGCGACTAGTAACATTTGACATCATCACGCCATTGAGCCACTGCTCTGGGAGGCAGGGAGATCATTCAACCCCTTTTACAGAGAAATTAAGGCTCTGAGACGATTGGGTAACTTGCCCAAAAGCTGAGAGCCGGTGACAAAGCACAGACTCCCACCCAGGACTCCTATTTCCAGATCCGAAGTGTGCGGACCCAGGCTCTGATTCACACGTGAGGAATTCGCCGCGCGCCATCCCTAGGCCAGGCTGCGTTTTCAGACGCGCGGAGAGAGGAGTTGCGAAACGCACAGGAATGAGTTCTTCGTGGTTGCAGTTTAGTCCTTACGGGGAAAAGAGAGAGTTAGTTCCGTGAGCTCACCGGGCCCGACGAGGCCCGCGCGGCGCCCGCACGGGTGGGGGGGGGGCGACCCACCGAGACCCCTGGGGCCAGGGCGCGGAGGCTGAGCCCCCGAGCGGCGCCTTCCCGGGCTCCGGCCACGGGGGGGGGGGGCGGGGGCCCCCGGGGCGCAGGCGGGGGGCGACCCTCCAGGCCCCCTGGAGCCAGGGCGCGATGGCGGAGCCCCGGAGCGGCGCCTTCCCGGGCTCGGGCCGCTGGGCGTGGGGGGGGCGGGGTCCCCCGGGGCGCAGGCGGGGGGCGGCGCTCCGTGGCCCCGCCGACCTCTGCCGGCTCCCCCCCGCCACTTGCCCGGAGCACCTGGCGCCTAAAAATATCGCCCCGGTCGGACCTCCCTGAACCAGCCCCCGCTTTGGAGGAGCGCGGCGCCGTCGTCCCCTCGACACACATAAATCACGGCTCCGACCTGCCGTGGACTCAGCAGGTGACGCGCGGCTCGAGCGGCGACGAATCCAGCCCCCGACGAAGGCCCGGCAGGGACCGCCGAGGCCGCCCGCTGGAGACTCGGCCCAGCCACCTCCGCGTCCGCCAGCCCGCTCAGCCCGGGGCTCTCCGGAGCCAGAGCCTGTGGCAATCAGGAGATTTTCTCCGCCCCGTCGGTGACGGAAAACTCGTGACTCGGGCCTGAGCGCCGGGCGGGCGCTGACAAGCCGGCGGGGGGGGGGGGGGGGGCGGGGCTGCGAGTCCGGCTCGCGAGGAAGCCCCCGACGGGCGGCGCGTGCGCAGTCTCTCTCCACGGGACCTCCTTCCCGCCGCTGAGACTAGGAAGCGGGACGCCAAATCTGTCCCCGCGCAGCCGCCGCGCCGGGCGCCGAGCGGGGGCCGCCCTCCCCGAGGCGCGCCTGTGCACGTTCCCACGCACGCTCCGGCGTACGGCGGCGGCCCGGGGTCGCGAGCCGGCGGAGGACCCGCGCGCGGAGGAGCCCGGGGCGGCAGCGCTTCTTCCCTCCCTCCCCCACTCCCCTCCCCGCTCCCTACCCCCCTCCCCAAGAATGTTCCGCTACGAGGTGAGCTCTTGCGACCGGAAGTGACCCCTCCCTCCCGCGCCCCCTCTGCTCTCTCACCCCCGCGCCCCGGGGGGGAGGGGAGGGGAGGGCGGGGGGCGGCTGGCGGCGGGACGCGGGACCGAGTGGAGCGCGTAGGGCCTGGGGTCGCGCGCGGCTTTAGTCCGAGGGCGCGGAGCGGCTCCAGGGGGCGGGACTGCGCCTATCAGTTGCGGCTGGGGAGAGTTGGCCTCCGTTTTGGGGTGGGGAGGGCCCGTTAAGTGCGGTGACCTGAGCAGCCCCCGCCCCCACCCCCACCCCCACCCCCGGCGGGAGCCGCGGAGGGCAGAGCGCTGCACCCACCGGCTGGCGCTCCTTCGGGAAGGGTCTCCCGGGAAAGCCTAGATACACGTTTCCCGCCCTGGACCCGGAACCCCCTCCCCTCCGGTTACACATACACCCGGAGGCTCGGGCAAGGGCGGGGCGGGGGGAGGGGGGCCCCGGACTCGCCCTTTCCTGGGGCCCGAGACTGTTTACCAAACCGGGCTCCGAACTGGGAGGGGGCGTGTCCCGCAGAAGTTGTTCTGGGGCGAGTGGAGGGAGACCTGGGCTCGCTGACCATCCCGGGAATGCAGCAGCAACAGTCGGGAGCCCTGTGACCCTGCCACTAACTCACCCTTTGACCTTGAGCTGCTCCTAGTCTCTGGACAGAACGTTTCTGGATTTGTAGACGGAAGGCTGCTCCAGGTGATCGCTGAGAAGCTTCACAATTTAAAAAAGCAGTGATTTGGTTAAGCAGGTCTTTTGTGATTTGGAAGGGAGTGCAGTGCCGCTGGAAGCTGCCTCTGCTGCGGAGGCAGTCGCATGCCTGCTTTGGGGAACTTTGGGTCCCCTGCTTTGGGGAACTTTGGGTCCCCTGCTTTGGGGAACTTTGGGAGGGCTTAACCCGGGTTAGGATGGCCTCTTGGGCTAACCTTGCCTTTGGGAACAGCCTACTTCAGAAGGTAGCCTGCCTATTGATATGTGGCCTGAGTCTTTGAAAATTGGGGACACGTGTACTTGATAGGAATGGTTCAAGACCGAACCGACTTGATGTAAACGTGGAGAGAGATGATGAGGTGCAGTAGGCAGAGTTGCCAACACAAAAGAGAACTTGGAGAAATAAGAAATCAGTGGAAAACTAAAGTGGAGAGGGGAAATGCTTAAAACAGAAGGAACCTAAATTGTTCTGATACTACCATCGTTCAGCAGTCCACAATTTTTGCCAAATCTTTGCCTCATTTAATCCTCACACAACTCTCTAAGGTATTGTCCCTTTGTTACCACTCAGAGCCTAACACAGAGCTGGAGACACAGTAGGTACTCGAGAGGTGTTTACCGAGTTAACCAGAATACGATTTGGCCAAGTTTGCGCCATTCTCTTGTGAGAATGAAGCCAGAACTTGAATTCACCATATCATGGCTTTCCCAGAGTTCACTTAATTGAGGTTGAAAATTTAGCTTTCTGTTTCATCCTCAGAGTTTGGGCCTACAGAAAACAAAAGGGTGGAAAATGAAGAGAAGGCTGTAAAAGGACATAAAGTAGCTGATATGTTGACATGAATATGAGTAACATGATGCTTCTGTTGAAAAATATACATAAAACTCAATGATAAAGTGTTCGTTTTCAGTTGTCATTACTTCTAACCAGTGATGTCAAAAAAGGAGCCTAATTTCTTGGTTGCTTGAAGAAACACTAGATTCTTGATAGAGAAATGGCATGTTTGGGAAAAGAAACTGAAAGAAGATACTGCCATCTTCCAATGTCAGGGAAATTGGGGCAGAAAAAAAAATGCTGTCTTTACAAGAGGTCATAAGCTATTTTGATGATTGGAGGGACAAAATGAGCATTTTTTAAGATGAAGGTGTGAACTTCATGAATACCTAATAAAATACCTAATAAGCTCTCTCTTTTTTTTTTAGTCCTTAGAGGATTGTCCCCTGGATGAAGATGAAGATGCATTTCAGGGCTTAGGAGAAGAAGATGAAGAGATTGATCAATTCAATGATGATACATTTGGGTCAGGTGCTGTTGGTAAGACATCTTTCTCCTGTAATGTCATCTTGATCTCTTGCTCTTCAAATATTCTCTTGTATAAGTGATTTGTCTTAGTAAGAGTAACTACATTCAAAAACTTGGCAAAATATTCTATTCTTAGAAGCCTCAAATAGTTTAGTCTTCACTGGAAGCATCTGCTTCACTCCCCTGGGCCCCTGTTTTGCCTCATTTATGTATAAAACCGGGTGTTCCCTGAGTCCAGTGCCTTCCAGCTGTTTTATCTGTGGTTCTAGGTTGACGCTGTAAGGCATGCAAATAGTTAGACAAGTAGACATTTTATGAAGATTTGAAATAATCCTGGAAGAAGGAAGTTTTTATTTGTGGAATATATAACTTGGAAAACTAGTAGACTAAAAGAAAACTTGGACTTGGGTATATATGTTTTAAAATTCAGTTAATCAGTGATGTATTGTGTGACCCCGCTATTGGCTTACATAGTATCTTTAATAAACTAAAAAGTATTTCATTCTAAGAATTGTGGTGATAGGAAGTCTTCATAAGTTAGAAAAGGGCTGGGCACAGATGAAATTTTCCTATTCCTGGATATAGATAAATATTTTAGGAGTTGGAAAAAGGTAAAAAATTTTAGGAGTTGGAAAAAGGTAAAAAATTAAAGAGCCAGACTAAACATGGCTCAGAGTTATAATTACTAAAATGGGAAACTTAGGGAACAGGCTTACATGATAAGATTTAAGAATTAAAGATCCTGGAGCAAGTATACCAATAAAATGTGCTTTCAAAAAAAAAAAAATAGGTAAGAGTCAATGCAAATTTTTTGCTTTTGACTGTTGGTATTGAAAAGTAGCAATGACAGTGTTTCTGTTGGGATGTGTAAAGTATGTGTGATTTCTTTGGAATCAGCATTTCTGTCTTTGCAACGAATATTCAAAGCTAAGTTGCAAGAGGAAATTTCATGATAGTGACTAATCTTAAAATGTTGAATATTAAAAAGAAAAATGAGGTCTTAAAGGCGTGATAATGGTTACTCGTTTTGCAAAGACCTGAACAACTTAAATTTGTTAAAACTTACACTGAGTTAACTGGTATAAATGAGAAAGTATAGTACTGTTAGTCAAGGTTTACAAAATACAGTAGAGTTTAAAACTACCACTATCCGGAGCAGCAAGAGAAGTGTTTAAGGTAGAAGCAAGGCCGATTACAGAAGGAAACCAAAGCCCTTTTGGATCATAGCCATAGTTTAGATGAGAGCCTCCAAGAGGATGACATGATCTAAGATGCTGTTCTCTCTCCATGGAGATCACAGGGAAAGAGTTGCAGAATAGAATTGCAAACGCAAGGAACTCATGAGAATTGCAAATTGTATTTGGAAGTTAGTTTAGTCTAACCTACAGGATACAATAGAAGTTACAGACATTGTGCACTTGATTCTACAACTCCTTTTCTCTTAAAGTATTGTCCTGAATGTCACCATTTTTTAGCAAATTCCTCAGGATTAAATAAAGTTGATGGAATTGATTCATAGATATTATATGAAGATGAGACGGCATACTAATATGTCCTCAGTTCTGAACCTGGACGGAAGAGAAATAGTTTCAGCTCTTCTCAATTGACTTTCAGCATGCTGTGGACAATTTTTTTCTGCTTCTATGTTCCTCACAAGTTGGGGAGAATATTGCCTTAAAAGGACATTAGAACAGGACTGTATTTTATATGATGGAAAAAAGAAAAGTACACACACATCAAAAAAGCCTGTAGGGTTATCCAATAAAAGAACAGGTAGTAAAAAGTAAAGGCAATGGAATAGCATATGGTCAGCTCACTTTGTGCCCTAGATCATAAGTGATTAAGAAAGACTTTTCTTGGTCAACAAAGTTTATGATGGAGAAAAGTTTTCCAAATATGAGTCCTTATCTTTGAGAGTATAATCTACATGAATTATAAAGTTAAAATCTTTAGAGAGAGAGCAGGGGGAGGGTGGTGCAGAGAGAGAGGGGGAGAGAAAGAGAATCTCAGGCAGGCTCCATGTCAGCACAGAGAGCCCAATGCAGGGCTCAGTCTCAGGACCCTAAGATCATGACCTGAGCCAAAATCAAGAGCCACCTAACTGCGCCACTCAGGTGCCCCTAAAGTTAAAAACTTAATTCTTCAGTTGAATATCTGACTTGGGCACAGGTCGTGATCTCAGGGTCCTGGGATCAAGCCTGGCTCCCAGCTCACTGGGGAATCTGCTTGCCCCTCTTCCTCTGCTCTCACACACTCGCATGCGCTCTCTCTCTCAAATATATAAAATCTTTAAAAAACAAAAACTTAATTCTCCATAATATCTTGATATAAATATTATACAGATTTAAAATTTAAAAATTGCTGTCAACCTGGGATTTCTTTACAAGATGCTGTTTGAGCTGGGGTAAAGAATTTTAAACCAAGAGGTAAAATATCAGACCTTTGACATGTGTTAGGATTTAATAGCTTTTAACTCAACAGTGAGTGTCTTGAATGATACTTGTTAGTAGTTATTTTAAGTGACTGCTACTGATGCTCTGATGTCATGTTTCTTTAAGACGCTAGTCCTTCTGCGTGGAAAAATGTACATCATCTAAGAGCAGTAAATGGCCACAGTAATCTCAACTCATTCTCTAAAAATAAAAGTTAACACTTACAGAGTGCTTCTTATCTATTAGGTACTATTCTAAGTGTTTTATATTTATTATTAATCCTCACAACCCTGTGAGATAGATACTATTATTACCCTCATTTTAACAAGAGGAAGGAAAGTATGAGAGAGGTGAAGTAACTATAAATACAATCAGGGTAAACTGCCAGTTATGACTGTCCTTGAGGAATCTTTGGGGATCTCCTGCTTCTGCTTGGAAGGGCTCCCCATTCTTTCCACCTCCCCTTTATTGATAGCTACTATAATCTTTAGGGACTTAGGTTGCCTTAAAATGAAATCACTTGTACTTCCTTTTCATTTTGTGTTTATAGAGAACTATTCCTGGACAGGTGCTGGAGGTGGGGGGTACTTAGTAACCCACATCAGGATATAGATTATTAGTTGAAGGAAAGCAAATACTTCTTTTTCTTCATTTCTCTGGTAATCCTTTGCCTACCCTTTATCATTTCGACCATTGTGGATCAAGCTCAAGCCTTGACACAGCTAAGTAATTTTATTTTTAGATCATTTGAAAGAGATACGAGTGAAGTATCCTTGAATAGTAAGGGCGTGTGATCTTCTGACATACTGCTTCACATGAGTTTTCACAGAGCAAGGAAAACCTAAAATGATGAGGGTATTCTTTGACATAGATCCCTTTGCTTACATGTTTGCAACAGTAACAGTCAATTCACAACAGAACCATTCTCACAGAATATAGCTATTTCACTGGTGTTTTTAAATTAAGGACAAATAAACTATTCATCTTTGGTAGGATCTGGTAAACTTAGTAAACATGAGTATGGGAGGTGATAAATGAAAAATTATACATCTGGAATTCTGTCTACCCTTGCTTTTTGGATCAGTAGTGTTATATGACTTATTGCTATGAAATAAAAATAACAAATTTTAAATGTTTATAATCTGATCCCAGAAGGGACTTAGCTTACTTAATAAATACTTGTGTAAGATGTTAAGATATTTATAATGCTCATTATGGTATTAATCATTACATTGGAAATAATCCAAATTTCTGTATCAATAGAATCTTACACAGGGAGACATCTGGGTGGCTCAGCGGTTGAGCATCTGCCTTTGGCTCAGGACATGATCTTGGGTCTGGGGATGGAGTCCCGCATCAGGCTCCCTGTGAGGAGCCTGCCTCTCCCTCTATGTCTCTGTCTCTCTCATGAATGAATAAATAAAATCTTTAAAAAAAAAAATCTTATACAGGTATTAAAAAGAATGAGATGATGTTATCAGTAGTTACGTGCATGTGTGCATACATGAAAAGTTGTCCAAGATATATTGCTTAAATAAAAAGAAACCAGTTAAACTTTATAGTTTGCGTTTTGGAGAACTTAAAATACCTGTAGAATTCTGGAGAACTTTCTAAGTTACATCTTTGTGTGAGTTTTAAATTTTGAATAATCCTGTATTTTCTTTGTAAGCAGGAAAAAAAGATAATTTTAACAAGTTGTACTTGAGTCCCTTAGAAAATAGTAAATCTACATCCTTTTTCTTTTTTTTTTTTTTTTTAAGTGGCTACCATGTATTATACCCTAAGTGTATACCGGGTACCTTTTTCTTTTCTTATTATGGTGCCTCCAGCTCTTCTTTCATCTTTTTTTAATGAGGTATGTAGAAGAATGATGTGAGAAGGATTGCCATTGAGGACACTCGCAGAATTCTGTGTTTCTATGTTATAAGGAGAATTACCTGTTATCCCTTTCTGTTGAAGCTTACAGGGGATAAAGAACAAAACTAAAGTTAAGAATAAAATATATACAAATACATGGGGGTATTGTGAGTTTGAAAGTCTTGGTGTTCAGATGAGGTGAAGGTAGCATTAAAATGAAAAGATTTTTTAGGGAAAGTTTCCCTGAGGAGGGAAAGACACCTGAATTTAAATGCCAAAAGGAGCGAACTAGTGAGTGGAAGCAGAATGAAGGATGATTGAGGAGCACTGGGATGACCGAGCGATGGAAATAAGGTAGGGAAATAAGGAGCAATGGAAATAAAGAAGCTGATGGGGGTTCTGACTTTTACCTGTGCTGTAGCAGGACTCAAAAATAACACTGCATCGGCATATTGTGTGAACACATAACCTTGTGCCAGCACCAGACTGTGTAGTAGTGTGCAGGAATAGCGGGGACGTTGTTAACATGGAAAAGGACCGGACCAGGTCTGGATCGCCATCTCCTTTCCCCTGGCGTGCTGCAGTAGCCATCTGGCAGACCTCCATGCTTCCATGTTTCTGCTCCTTTCCCTGCCCCTCCCCCCCAATTCTTGAATCTGTTCTCAATACAGCAGCCAGAGTGTTTCTTTCAAAAAGTCAAGCCACATCAAACCTCCAGTGGCCCCCATTTCAATCAGAATGACCTGGAAGGAGCTCTCTCCCATCATTTGGCCTCATTTTTTTCTACTCTTCTCCTCGATTATTCCAATCCAAACACAGTGCTTGCTATCTCTCACAATCGTCACTCATCCTTAAGCCTTTTCTATGGATGTCCTCTGTGTGGAACACTCTTCCCCCACATAATCCACACAGCCATCTATTGGGCTCTTGATTCTGCTCAGACGTCACCCTCAAAGTGAAACATTCCCTCTGACCATCCTACTCAGTCTCCAACCTTTGCTTTTCCTCCGTCCTCTTACAGCATTTCATCTCCTGATATAGTACCGAATTTACTTATTACATTTATTGTCTACTTTTTGTCTCTTCTCTACTTGAAGGAATGCTCCAGGAGGCCAGGGACCTTTATGTTTTTATACACAGATCTATCCCATGTGCCTAAAACAGTACTTAGCACATAATATATGCTCAACAAATACTCATTGAATGAAATGAATGAATTTGAGATCTTGTAAAGAAGATGATTATAATTTAAAAGAACCTGTATGCCAATGCAGAGAGTTTTAACTTTTTTGCCTGATAAATCATAGAATCTCAAAACCAATGGGTTGTTGTATACATACCTATCACCAGTTTAGAAATTGTTTTCAGAATACAGTTTGGATGCCATTCATAATGTATTAAACTATCAGTCTAACTGCTTGAATTTTATTTCTGGCGTGATGTTATTTGTGCTTAATCACAAAAATCCCACTTTCAATTTAAGCCTCTCAGCTTAAATCTTATTTCATGTCTCTAAGTGGAAGCTGACTATATTCTGACATGAGTTCATTTGGTTAATTGAAGAATTTCATAAAACTTTTAGTCCCTATATGAAGTATGTTTTTTTTCTTATGATGTCCTTATAGATGATGATTGGCAAGAAGCCCATGAGCGCCTGGCTGAATTGGAAGAGAAACTGCCAGTGGCAGTTAATGAACAAACAGGCAATGGAGAAAGGGATGAGATGGACTTGTTGGGTGACCATGAGGAGAATCTGGCAGAAAGGCTCAGTAAGATGGTGATTGAAAATGAGCTAGAAGATCCAGCAATCATGAGAGCAGTGCAGACCAGGCCAGTTCTGCAAGTGAGTAAGTTACTCTGATTTGAGAACTATAGCAGACTAGTAGTTAAGGTGAAGTATTGAGCTGTGCCATTTTGTTTCATCTAGTACCCTGAGAAACTTGCATGTTCCATATAAAACTATTAATATAATTCCTGATCATAGCAGTTGAAGGTGGGGAATAATGTACATCCTAGAACACTGTAGTTTCCTCTTCTCGAGCAGTTGAGACTCTTTTGGAGCTTTGTTCACCGAAATCAGTTTAAATCGCCCAGAAAGCTCTCAGTATTCCAGACTTTGCATATGTGTTTTCCTTTTTTGTTAGCCCCAACCAGGAAGTCTCAATTCCAGCATCTGGGATGGATCTGAAGTTCTGAGGCGAATCCGAGGACCACTGCTTGCTCAGGTATTAAACATTTTCTCTTTATACAAATTCCTAGTATGTGGAATCTCCTGTTGGGATCCTTTCCTTACTGAAACAGTGTATTGGTGTGTTTATCATTTGCTATTATTGTGTTGATTATTTGATCTAGTGCTCATAACTGTACCTGTTGATGGTACACTTTTGCAGCCTCCACAGCAATGCTCAGTTGACTGTGCTTTATTTTGAAAAGGTGGAAAAGGAGACATTAGAATTCAAATTTGTTAGCTTATAATCCAAATTCCTGAAGTCATTGCTAGGTAGAGCCGTGGGAATGAAGAACAGATAGGTGTTTAACAGTGGTTGGAGGTAGTGGAAGGGGTTGACTGCTGAGGGACACTACAGCAGAGGTTTGGGCAGTGACAAAACTGCTCTGTTTCTTGACCGTGGCAGTAGATCCATGAATCTCTGTATTTATCAAAATTCAGAGGACTGTACAGCAAGGAAAGGGAATGTTACTGGACATGAATAAAGAAAAAATTTAAAAATTTCTCAAGATGGTTTTGGCATCTGTACGTATTAAAACATTTTAAGTTGGCTGTGGGCTAATTTTCTATTTGTTTTGTTTTGATTTTTTTTTTTAACCCATTTCTTCAATTAGGAAATGCCGACAGTGTCTGTATTAGAATATGCCCTGCCTCAAAGGCCCCCACAGGGCCCAGAAGATGATCGAGACCTTTCTGAGCGTGCATTACCACGGCGGTCAACTTCGCCTATCATTGGGAGTCCTCCTGTTAGAGCCGTCCCCATAGGCACCCCACCTAAGCAGATGGCCGTACCCAGCTTCAACCAGCAGGTACCTCTCATTAACAGGCACTCAGCCCAGGATATTGGGAATCTGGGCAAAATTATTTGGGAAGTTGGCAATGCTGGGAGGAGGGTGGAAGTTTTGGGTAGGCATTAGATTAGAAAGAGGAGAAGTTAGTACAAATAAGAGACACATTCCCTAATGCCCTTTGCTGGTGCTGCTCCTGTTGCTGCTGCCTTTTCATTGGGGGAGAAAAAGGGTAGTTAACCACATTTAGTGTATATATCCTTTTCAAAGTGTTTTGCTGGCTGCCCACAACATTGGAAGAGAGGTAACTAAAAGCCGGGGGGAGTGGGAACACACAGCATTGTCCACATCCCTTTTTACCTTTAAGATATCCCTGCTTTCCCTAGAGCCTGTGCAGTCCTGTTCCATAGACTTTCCTCCACCTGAAACCAGCAGCTGAAAAGGAAGGCCAATTTGGAAGGTATGGGGGGAGGGTGGTGTTGGTATGGCCTAGTTAGGCTCAGTATTCTATGAAACGGTGGAGTCACAATGTATCACAAAACAGCTGAGCATGGCGGCCATATCACAGGGGCTTCAGAATAGGACTTAGTTAATCCTCCAGCTTTCTTATCATTCCTTCTCCCTCGCTGCTACCAAAATAATATCCTCTTGCAGAGAATTTGCAAGTCAGAATATCTGCTGGTACCTCCCTCAGATAGCATGGAAGGGTGGGGATAACTGGAGAATTAGCTAAATCTTCCTCAGTTACAAGTGGCACGTTGTTTGGTGTTTACAAGAGGAAGTGACCAAAGGTTCTCATGTGAACCTATAGCTGTAGCAATTTGTTTAGAAGTAGGGCTTTGCGTTGAGTTGTGTGTGTCTACCAGTACTTGAGGGGAGGGAGTGTAGGTGGAGGAAAAACTGACTTCACTGAGTGTAGTTGTGTATATGTTTGTCCTGATAGATCCTGTGTCCCAAGCCTGTCCATGTCCGGCCCCCGATGCCACCGCGTTATCCTGCTCCCTATGGCGAGAGGATGTCTCCAAACCAGCTCTGCAGTGTCCCGGTAGGTCACTTTGAATCCCAATGAAAATGTGCAGCATATGTTTTCTGATCACTCCTAGTATATAGATGTCTCCTAAATTAGGTGCGGTTTTTATAATCTCCCATACTTGAATTTCTGGATGTTATGGTCCCCAGGTCAGAGGCCATGATACATCATGTTCAGTTGTTTCATACCTGAGGTGGTTTTTTTGTTTGTTTTATCTTTAAAAATCCAAACTTGGCATGGTCATCTGGTTTCCTGCTATTTCAGTCCCTCATCCTTCTTCAGGTTACATGATCATAGTGCTTCCTGATTTCTAGCATTGCTCTCTTTTGTATTCCTTCCATAGACAGCTTGACTCTACAGTTTGAGCATTTTAATATCCAAGTTTATTCTGCATTCCTACTGAATTTCTTTATTGTATCAATTTACCTATTTCACAGAATGTATAATTTTTTTCTTTTTTTTTTTTGCTTAGAACTCTTCCCTACTGGGTCACCCTTTCCCTCCTAGTGTTCCTCCCGTTCTCAGCCCCCTCCAGAGAGCACAGCTTCTTGGAGGAGCACAGGTAAGCCTGTGATGAACCCACCCCATGAACAGCTCTCTTGCTTTCCTGACCTTTATAGGTGCTATTCCTCTTTGCTGTTAATCAGTCTCTATTGCCTCTTATTATTTGCTTCATTTTTTCAAAGTTCTTCTCTGTGGATAAAAGCAAGAGGACTTGCTGATTAACTAAATCTGAGATCCTCTCCCTCTTTCTAGCTACCGCCTGGACGGATGTCTCCCAGCCAGTTTGCACGGGTCCCTGGATTTGTTGGTAGTCCGCTAGCTGCCATGAACCCCAAGTTGCTGCAAGGGCGAGTGGGGCAGGTGCTTCCCCCAGCACCTGGCTTCCGGGCCTTCTTCAGCGCTGCACCCCCCGCTGCTCCACCGCCTCCACAGCAGCACTCCCCTGGCCCAGGGCCTCACCTGCAAAACCTAAGGTGTGCAAACTAAGGCCACTGTTTACCTGTTGGTTGCCCAGAGCTCTTTCTTAGGGATGCCCCTAGATGTCTGCAAGAGGTGTGTTTTGAGATGTTACTGGATCCTCCACTTGTCAAACAGAGATGTGTGACAGTCTCCAGGCACTCTTGGGAATTAACATTTCCATAAAGTCATGTGCTACATGTGTAATTTGCATGTTACTAGTTAATCACCTCTTTTATTCTTTCTGACATTTCTTAGGTCTCACCTTATATCCCTTTTACAAACACACAGGTGCACAAAGTGCTTATCAATTAAGAATTATCGCTTAAGAATTACTGTATGCTGAGACCAGAGATGTCGATGCTGAGTAGTCAGCTCACCTCAGTGTTAGAGCTAAGTTGTCACTTCTGTCCTGGTTTTACGATGGGTTCAAGTTCCTGCTCCTAGTGAGGTTGTGTTTTCTTTTATATTGTACCAGGATTCCTCAGAGAAACAGAACCAATGAGATACATATATATACACATACATATAAGTATACATGTATATGTGCACCCGCATCTATCTTGAAATAAAGATTTATTTTAAGAAATGGCTAAAAAGATCAATAGAGCAGGCCAGCTGAATGGAAATAAGGGTTGAATTTGCAGTCCTGAGTGAAATGTGTAGGACAGACTGGCAGGTTAGAAGCTCAGGCAGCACTTCTGTGTTCTAGGCTTGAGGCAGAACTCCTTATCTGGGAAATAACCAGTTTTTACTCTTAGTGCCTTCAACTGTGGGTAAGGCCCACCCACATTGTCAAAGATTCTCTTTTTTCTTAACTCTTAATTAATCGTATCTACAAAATATCTTTACAACATTTAGACTAGTGTTTGACCAAACAATTGGACATCATAGCCTATAACCAAGTTGACATAAATGGACCATCACACATACATTTTTAGTGTCATTCCCAAACAGTTGAAACAAAGCACATTAAATGTTTTAAGAGATTTCTGTTTACAGTTAGGAGGAAGACTAAAATAATTGCACTGCTTCACTGCTAATTCACTCCAATTTTATGATCGTTGTCTTAGGAGTTGAGAATTAGTCTTTGTAGAGGACATGAAAAAGTACAGCAGTCTTCTTCTGAAAGGTCTGAGAATAGACCTGGACATTCCCTGAGTCCAAGTGTATGAAGTGATCCTGTACCAACAACATTCTCTAAAACTTAACATCACAGAACAAGAGAATTGAAAACCTTTCCCTGTTTTTCTCAGATCTCAGGCCCCCATGTTTAGACCAGACACAACTCACCTCCATCCACAACACCGTCGTCTCTTGCATCAGAGACAGCAACAGAACAGAAAGTAAGTATTCATCCTGCTCCTTGGTGGTTTCTTAATTCAGCTTTTAATTTTGACAGTTTAGCAAGATGCTACTGATTTAGTTTACTTTTTAAGTAAACTTAATTAGTATTGAGTTTATGTTACTGGTCAAGAAGATTATATATGCTGTCATTTTATGTTTTCGATACACTAGCTTTATTATTTTTTTAGAGAAAGCGTTGTGGGGAGGGACAGAGGGAGAAACAGAGTCTGAAGCAGACTCCATACCCAGCACAGGGCCTAACATGAGGCTCGATCTCACAACCTGAGATCACGACCTGAGCCAAAATCTAGAGTCAGATGTTTAACCAGCTGAGCCACACAGGCGCCCTTATACACTAGGTATAAATGACAAGATTTTATCAACGAATTTCTAAGATTCTATAAATCTGTTTCTCATACATCAGAAATACAATATAGATCTGATTTTTTAAGTCATTTTATACTCCTTACCGAGTTTTTACTATACTGTTAACTGTCTTTGTTTATCATCTCAGCTCAGAGATAACCGTGGAATATAATCTCTAGCCTTACATTTCGGTCTTATGTAAAGTCAGCATTTGCTCTATTTTTGCCTATAATTTAATCCTCATTCAACAAATAGAGAAACATGTATATGTGCAGCCCTGGCTGTGTTTCAAGCACTGTGGTAGGTTTTGAGGACTGAAAGAACAAAATGGGTGAAAGTCCTGCCTTCATGGAGTTGACATTGTATAATCATTCATATACAGAAAATTAGAAAATTAAACATAACTTTGAGGTTTCTTTAACCTTCAGTTTTATAGGGATCCCTGGGTGGCTCAGCGGTTTAGCGCCTGCCTTTAGCCCAGGGCATGGTCCTGGAGTCCTGGGATCGAGTCCCACAACAGGCTTCCTGCAGGAAGCCTGCTTCTCCCTCTGCCTGTGTCTCTGCCTCTCTCTCTCTGTGTCTCTCATGAATAAATAAAGTAAAATCTTTAAAAAAAAAAAAAAAAAGAAAGAAACCTTCAGTTTTATAGTTCTACATGTATAATTCCTTCTCACTTTCAAAGAACCTCTAAAATACTTTTTGCAGGGGGAAAAAATACAGGCTCTTAAAATAAGACACTGAAAGTATAAACCATAAAGGAAAAGATTAATACATTTGACTGTTAAAATATAAAACTTCTAGTACCTGTAGTTAACAATATGGTTTTATGTGTTTGAGAATTCATAAAGAGGATGGATCTCATTCATGTGAAGTGTTGTTGTTAGCACCAAAAAACAAAACAAAAAAAAAAAACAATGGGAGATACAGAAACTCTGGTAGGTGTTGAATATATCCATTACCATATGTGTAGTGATGGTGTAATAAGTGTTTGCATGTCCAGACTTATAAAACTGTACACATTAAATATGCACAGTTCTTTGTCAGTTATACCTCAGTAAAGCTGATACGATTTTGCTCATATGTGGAATTTAAGAAACAAAAGAACAAAGAGGAAAAGACAAAAACTCGTCACTATTATAAAGAACAAACAGTCGGCGACCAGAGGGGAGGGTGGGTGATGAGCACTGAGAACATTTAGAACTGTTGAACCATTGTATTGTACACCTGAAACTCAAAGATTTTAAACTTGCTTATAATCAGGAAAATACAGATTAAAATTAAATAACCATTTTATATCATCAGACAAGCAAAATATGAAATGTCTCGACACTTCATTGTTGGCAAGAATATTGGTTAGCCTTAGCCTCTTGTAAAGCATTTGGCAATAAATAATAAGGTTGAAAATGTGGATGAACCACATGCTACCACTTCTCCTTGTTGGTGTATACTTGTGTATGCTCTCAACACAGATAAAGGTGAAAAGCATAACATTGAATAAGAAGCAAAGAGCAGATTTACATTTCCAGTACTATTTGTGTAAAAGTTAAAGGCAGATGGAATAATACTGTATAATATTTAAAGACATACATGAGTCATGAGTCTTAAAAACATTGCAGAGAGGGACTCCTGAAGGGCTCATTTGGTTAAGCGTCCAACTCTTGGTTTCGGCTCAGGTCATGGTTTCCCGGTTATGCGGTCAAGCCTGGCGTCAGGTGCCGCGCTCAGTGTGGAGTCTGCTTGGGATTCTGGAATTCTCTTCTCCCTCCCTTCACACACACACACACACACCAAGCAGCCTCATGTGTGCTCACACTCTTTCTCTTCCTCAAATAAACAAAAACTTCTTTAAAAAAAAAAATTTCAGTAGGAGTGCATGCAAAGTCAGGATAGTGGTTCCTCTTGGAAGGGAGGGAGGCAGGAAACCAGGATCCAGATAGGGTGCAAGAGGGCCTTAACTAAGTACAACAGTATGTTGCTTTAATATTGTTGAAAACCCTGAGACAAATAGGGGCAAATAAATTTTTTTTCATTAAGTCTGAGTGGTAGATAAATGAATGTTTATTACGGGCTTTTCTCTGTATTTGAAGTATTTCATGATTTTCATCAAGTTAAAAAAGTATATAGACTGCAAGTCAAATTGGCCAATGTTCACATCTCTTGGGCCTTGGTGTATTGTCTTCAGCAGAGAAAATAAAACTGCCTACCTCTTAGGGTTATTGTTGGGCTTAAACAGACGTCCATCGGTGAGAGTGCACAGCACATGGCGAGGCACTCAGCTCTCCGGTGTATTGCCTTCAGCGTGCATTGAGTAGCTTTTTCTTCTCTGATGCCATTAAGATTCAGTCCCTTTTCACTCCTTTGTTGACAAAAGCAAAGTGCAGTCTTATTTTTAACTGGCCCAGCTTGTTTCTGTATTGTTACAAAGCCTAAAGAGCAAATGTGCCCCTGTGTTTGTTTTCAGCCAGCATCGGAGCCTCAATGGTGCAGGAGATAGAGGAAGTCACCGGAGCAGTCATCAGGACCATCTCCGAAAGGATCCCTACGCCAATCTCATGCTGCAGCGAGAGAAGGATTGGGTCTCTAAAATCCAGATGATGCAGCTGCAGAGCACTGACCCCTACCTGGACGATTTCTATTACCAGGTAGATGACCATTCCATCCCTTACTCTGGTTAGGCACTTGTGGAAATATTGGTAGCTTTAAGTCCTGACAGAATTTTCTTTGGACTTAGTTTTCAGTAGGGTAAGAATTGACTAAGCAAATTCTGTCCTCTTAAGCTGGAGACCCTCTCCCTATTCACCAGAAGGTTTCTGTATATGCCTTTTATTCCTTACACACAGAGCCTTTTGGGCCAGAGTTTGAAATCTCTTCAGCATTAATAATCTGGTTCTCTCAGTGAAGATTTATTGGTGCTCTAACTTTAAAGATATTTCCGTTGATGATGGGCTCTTCTGAAGGCTGGGATTTTTTGAGAAGTAAATGTCTCTAGCTGTCTAGCAAAAATTAAGGATCGATATATTAATTAGAGTCCAGGTTGTTGCTGCCACCAGTATAATCACATAGTGATAAAGAGCAGCCGTACTCTGGGCTTGTGTTGCAACTGAATTCCTCTTCCTGTGGTAGAATTACTTTGAAAAACTGGAGAAACTGTCAGCTGCTGAAGAAGTACAAGGCGAAGGTCCCAAAAAGGAGCGCACCAAGCTCATTACTCCTCAGGTGGCCAAACTGGAGCACGCCTATAAGCCAGGTAAGGTCCTTTTGCCTTGGCCCATAATAAAAGAAAATCAACATGCTGTAAATACGGCAAGGTAGAAATAACTGTATAGATGACTGGCTGTAGAGATGTTCAAAGCTCATTTATTGTCCTTAAATGCAGAGGTCAGCCTTCACTGCAGTACAGAATGATTTGGTTTAGCAGATAGACTTGTAGATCCTTTACTGCTTGAGGTTCCTAACTTTTTAAAACATGTTACAATTTCTAGTATCCCTATAATAAATGGGAAATACTTCAGATTTTTATTAATTATCCTTGCAACCAAAAAATGGGAAAAGATTTAGGTAAAACATCACATTAGATACATAGATTTTTGTACTGAATTGTTAGGCTCTGAGTAAAGAATAGAGAATAAAGGTCTTTGAAAGCTGCCTACATTGCTAAGTTATTTGTTGGAAATGTTCTGTCCTTGCAGTGCAGTTCGAGGGTTCTTTGGGAAAGCTTACTGTCTCCAGTGTGAATAACCCCCGAAAAATGATTGATGCCGTTGTAACATCGCGGAGTGAGGATGATGTAAGTGTCAGCAGAACTGTGTTCAAGAAATGCTGGGTCAGGTCATCCCTACTCCCTGGGGGTCATTGTGGGAGGGAATCAGGCACAACAGAGTTGTTTGTTGTCTAACTGGGAGCTTTCCTCCACCGCACCCCAGCACATCCTGGCATTCTGGTTTCCTGCGGGTGGGCTGAAGTGCTAACACCTTTCTTTTTAAGGCAGCTAGGCCAGACTCAGGGTGGCAGGAGTCTTTACACTGGGTCACTGGCTACAAATAGCATTGGCTGTTTATTCCAGTTTTTAAAATTACCATTTTCTATGTGTTTTAAGATTTTCTTGTGATTATCTTCATCTTCACTGCATTCTACGATTACCTTTTTATCCATCTGTAAACTCATTTTGGTAGTCTTTGTGGGTGAATTCAGTCAGTTCTATGACCTTTGTCCAATTATGGTTGTTTAGATTGTTTATTAATGTGTAAGTTTCTCTTACAGTCTGGTCACAAATGAAACTATGCACACTTAGAAAATTGTTTTTAGGGGATCCCGGGGTGGCTTGGCAGTTTAGCACCTGCCTTTGGCCCAGGGCGCGATCCTGGAGTCCCAGGATCGAGTCCTGTGTTGGGCTCCCGGCATGGAGCCTGCTTCTCCCTCCTCCTGTGTCTCTGCCCCCCCCCCTCTCTCTCTCTCTATGTCTTATCATGAATAAATAAATCTTTAAAAAAAAAGAAAAGTCTTTTTAACAGAGATAAAGAATTCACACTGAATAGTCTTGTCTTTTTTTAGGAGACAAAAGAAAAACAGGTTCGGGACAAGAGACGAAAAACCCTTGTCATAATTGAGAAAGTAAGTTTTAGAATTTGTTGCTGTCGTTAGTTCCAAATAAGGAACTGTCAAATATATGTGTACACAAGAAGTGGAAAAGTAAGCAGTCGGTGTGCTGTGATTTTAATTAATGAGCATATCCTTCTTACATGCCTGTTGTATACCAGAACACACTAGAAAGGACGTGCTGTGCCTCACCTATGGCCTTGTGGAAAGAACACTGCAGTTACAGTGACACGTCCTGGGTCTTTGTCCAAGCTTGTTCAGTTAACTGCTAAGTGTTTGCGGTCAGGTCACCTTTCTAAGAAAGTGAAAAAAATTATACCATTCCACCTGTGAATTAATTGAGTTAATTAAATCAGTTCACAGGTATTACTGGATATCCCCTGGATGCTGGGCACTGTGCTGGATGCCAAGAAAAATGTGGTCCTCATTTGGCACTTAGTTTGTAAAGTATAAATAATAGTGTTGCAAGGCCATAGGCACAGTGAGGAAGGGCGCAGAATGTGCAACCACACTGCAAATCACATCATCTTCATTTCTGAGTCTGTGACTCGAGGCAAGCTACTTAATCTTTCTGTGCTGTCCTCATTTTCTTTATCTGCAACAGTGGAGACAGTAATAGTCTTTTTTCAGACCGGGTTGTGGAGAGCATCAGGTGAAACGAGTATGTGCACCCAGGACTGAAATTATTGCTGTGTTTATAGATATAAGGCACACCTGAAGCAGTGATACAAGTCATTTATGTTACAGTGCTATTCTTGCTGCTGGAAAGTTTTCAAAGTACTGTCCGTTCCATCCTGGTTAGAAGTCAGGAGGGACAACAAACAGGAATTCCTTAAGTCCTTTCACTCTGTTTTTCTGGATTCAACAGCACCTTTTTCCTCTCAGTCTTACTACAGTTTGTTTCCACTCTTTGTACCTGGTGGTCTTAAACTCTCAAATTGTTTATCAAATACTCCGATCCTGACCCAGCATGCTGTCGCCTGCTTTGTGTCTCACTTAGACCTATAGTTTACTCCTGGATGTGGAGGATTATGAAAGGCGGTATCTCCTAAGTCTAGAAGAAGAGCGACCTGCCCTGGCGGATGAAAGAAAGCACAAAATTTGTAGCATGTATGACAACTTAAGGGGGAAATTGCCTGGACAAGACAGGTAAGAATTGTACACTTGGAGTGACATGTGAGACCAGCCAGACTCCTCACTCGGCTGACCTGAGCTTTCTACATGTCTCTCTCTCAGATACCTTCCTTACCATCCTGGGAAGCTCAGAGTCTATCCTTCTGGCCTAACTCAAGTGCCATGTCATACAAAGCACTTCATAATCCTTCCCAGCCAGGAAAAAAAAAAATCTTTTTTCCAGATTCATTTATTCATCACCAGTATATTCCCTACCTGCTAAGGCCTATGCTGGGCACTGCAGAGATATGGTGGAGAACAAGATTTGGTTTCCGTGTTAGAGCCTACAGATTGTGCTTGCTTTATGCTTTACTGTAGCAGGTTCAACCTTGTAATTTTTGCATTGTCTTTTTCTACTGAGATGAAAAGTTTAGACATTTATATTCTCTTGGGATTTCCATAGAATGCTCATATGCTATGGAAGCCAGTCAGTCTTCCGGTGGGGACCATGCTCCTTAATATAGCTGTTTATCTGTATCTGTCATCTCTCCCATGCAGGATCTTGCTAACAGTAAATGTTCTATAAACCCGAAGTGTTTTATTTGATGAATGCAAGAGGACTCTGTCCTGATAATTTCCTTTCCTTTGCCCCTTCAAGAGAATTGGTGATTCTTCTAAGCCAGGGCACGCACAGACCAGAACATAAAAATAAGCACCCTCTTTTCAGCACACCTTTTCTGGAGTCAGGTTGACATACAACTGGTTGAATAAATGTAGCTTTGTCCATAGTTGGAGATGTTATGCAGCCATCAGATCAACGTAGTTGAAGTATGTTTATGGAGATAGAATATTGTCACAAGAAGTCGAGTGAAGCAAGTCAAGAAACAAACAAAACAAATTCTCTGGATTTTTATTTTTTTTTAAGATTTTAGTTATTCTTGAGAGACACAAAGAGAGAGGCAGAGACACAGGCAGAGGGAGAAGCAGGCTCCATACAGGGACCCTGATGTGGGACTTGATCCCAGGACTCCGGGATCACGCCCTGAGCCAAAAGCAGATGCTCAACCACTAAGCCACCCAGGAGCCCCATTTTATTCTTTTTTAGTGAAAAAATATACAGCACAAAGGTTCTTAAATATGATAATAATATAAAGTTAATTCTGAAATGATTGTTTTTATATCCTTTTTGCTTATGTATGTTTTCAGATTTTGCCGTATCAACCATGTTTTTTGTTTAGTTATATAACACGTAAAGGAAATGAATGCATGTAGTTTGAACAAGTCTTTTTAACATACATCTGTGAAAGGACAATTTTCTACATTTGCGAAACTTGAAAAACGACTTGTTAATGTATGGTTGAGAATTGGAGAAGTAATTCTCACTATTTTGCAGCACAGGTCATCTTAGGGTGAAAACGAGCACAGCATATTCGTTCAGTAACATGGAAGAGGAGAAAAAGGATGTATTCAATTGTTCTTGCTGACCTAAGTGAGCATTTCCTTCCCCCGCAGGCCAAGTGATGACCACTTTGTACAGATCATGTGTATCCGAAAAGGGAAGAGAATGGTTGCCCGTATTCTTCCTTTCCTCTCCACAGAGCAAGCAGCTGACATTCTCATGACAACAGCCAGGAATCTCCCTTTCCTTATCAAGAAGGACGCACAAGATGAGGTGATCCCCCATGTGGGACTTCTTTCCTTTGGGTCTTCATAGTTTATAAGGTTTCTAGAATCCAAATTTCATTTTCTCCCCCTCCTCATTTCTGCTGTCTTATCTAACCTTCAGCAGTAGGATTTGATTATTTATTTTTTTTTAATTTTTTTTTAATTTTTATTTATTTATGATAGTCACAGAGAGAGAAAGAGGCAGAGACACAGGCAGAGGGAGAAGCAGGCTCCATGCACCGGGAGCCCGACGCGGGACTCGAATCCCGGGTCTCCAGGATCACGCCCCGGGCCAAAGGCAGGCGCCAAACCGCTGCACCACCCAGGGATCCCAGGATTTGATTATTTAAAGGAAAACTCCAGCACTATATTTTTAATCCCACTTTTGCTCCAGTAGACCAAGTTCCTAAACCAAGGAAAGCAGTAATCCCATCTTAATTTGACATAGTTGTGAGGTTATGTTGTATATCAGAATTTTGGGAGAAGCAGATAATTCAGCCCTACTCCCAACATGCTGAATCAGAATTTATAGAGGAAAGATCAGGGCTTCTGTATCTATAACAGAATCCCTAGCTGAATCTGATATGAAAATTTACAAATTTATGATCTTGGTTAGTTTGCTGGATATAAAGTATCCCTCGTTGGGCTGTTGTCAAGAGCTTAACATTCAGCTGTAGACTTAGTTGAATGGTGTCCCACAGGAGTCAAGCCAGTGCTTGTAAATGACATTTATCATGATCTAAACTAAGTTGGACTTTGAAACATGATTTTCAAGATTGTAAGTTAACTCTTGGTAAGAACCGTGCTCTACTTATCTTTGTCATAACACTTGAAAGATAAGTGCTATTTAGAATAACCTTAGGAGTTCAGAGCAAGAAATTGATAAGGGTAGCACACGGGCAATTAGTACTGTAAGGTTCAGAATGTTAGAACTTAGAGCGAGCCTTATTACAATAGACTATGCTTGATTTTTTTTTTTTTTTAAGATTTTATTTATTCATGAGAGGCAGAGACATGGACAGAGTAAAAGCAGGCTCCGTATAGGGAACCTGATGTGGGATTCCATCCGAGGTCTCCAGGATCATGCCCTGGGTGGAAGGCAGATGCTCAACTGCTGAGCCATCCAGGCGTCCCTAGACTGTGCTTGATTAATAACCATCTGGTGACGATCCACAGAAAACATGGTGTCAAAATACCTTGTAAGTGGGATGGTATGAAAAAGTTGAAAATTATTCCTTCTAAAATCATAACGAGTTGAAAAAGTCCTAGAGATTATAGCACCAGCAGAAGAAACTAATGCAAAGTTGAGGCCTCATTGTCAGGAAAGGTAAAGTGGGATGAGACAAATACAATTGGAAAGATTTAAGAAGGGAAAATGGGTTGGAGGAAAGTTTAAGGATTTGAGGTCTATCCTAGAAAATAGAAGCCAAACTGAAAGCAACAGGTCCCTTATCACCATAGATGGTTGTAGGCCATGGGGTGCGCACTCCCAGTCCTAGAGGAACTCCTCTATGGAAACAAGTTTGGGAGAGCTTTATTCATTCTGTCGATACTTATTGAACATGTGTATAGACCAGATACTATTTTAGGTCCTAGAAATATAGCGCCTAGTGCTGGGAGCTAGGAATTCGAAGATGCTTGCCTCCGTGGAGGTACCTGTGAGTGATGAAAACTTGGTTAATTAGAGAGGCCAGAGTTTTTATCTGTGCATGCTCAAGAGTAATAGGCCAGATCTCTGAATACCGTTGCTGGAAGTAGTAAGTAGTTGCAAGTCTAATGCATAAACTATACAAGGTAATTCTGGAATAATGTGCCAGAAAGTAAGGAAGGTGACTGACTCCTAGGGTCCTATGTGAAAGATGTACAGACAGAGTTCAAGGGGCTCCTACTGCCTGAAAATGGGGTAATTTGCATCAGAAAGAAAAATTACAGCAGCGGCTTGACATACATAAAATATTTTTAATTTAATGGTTCATAATGATACCAAAAAATATATATTCACCTTCAAAGATTGCTAGGCCATCAGTTCATTATCCTGAAAATGGATAAAGGAAAAGACTCAAACATCTATCTTGTCTTTTCATTACAACGAGACATCATGGTGACCACAAAGTTGATCATAGAAAATCCTTCCTAGAAGCATTTCAGCTAATAAATGCAAAAGAAATGATAAAATTAGAAAATTTCCAGTTCACAATCGATAATGGAAAGGCAATCGGTCAGCCTGGACAGCAATTCCTTACTGGTGCCAAAAGGTTAGGTTACAGGTGGATGGGGAATGGACAGTAGTTGGAGCACCAAACAACTGATGGCTATGTGAGAGTCACTGTGCTTTGTGACACGATGCAGGAGAAACCTCCGCTCTCCATCAGGGAAGTTTTTGCCTTCCCCTGATGAACTTAAATCTTATCAAATATCAAATTGTAATCATCAGTTTTTGTTGGAAAGACAGGTACCACCTACCAGGATGGTAGAACCTGTTAAGTGACGCCACAGATGTGCAATTAGCCAAATCCAGACAGCAGGACGGCGTCAGTAACTCAACAGCATGAGAAAAGGAGACAGTGCATGGGCAAAGGACCTGTTTGCAGATTTTAGAAGCCTTACTAGCCAGATGCGATGTGTGGGTCCTGTTGGAATCATGATTAGAATCAATCAACTGTTAAAAAAATGTTTTTGAGACAACTGGAGAAATCTGAATTTGGAGGAGATATTAGGTGATACTAAGGAACGGCTGTTAATTTTGTTAGCTGCAATAATACTGAGAGGTTTTATTAGAGATACTGGCTGAAGTATTTATGGGTGAAAGGCTAGGTTATATGGGAGGGACATTGATTTCCTAAGAATGGTAGAATGTTGATTTTTTCTTTTCTTTTTTTTTTTTTTTTTTTGTATATTTTTTCATTGAAGTTCAATTTGCCAACATATAACACCCAGTGCTCATCCCATCCAGTGCCCCCCTCAGTGCCTGTCACCCAGTCATCCCAACCCCCCACCTACCCCCCCGCCTTCCACTACCCCTTGTTCTTTTCCCAGACTTAGGAGTCTCTCATGTTCGGTCACCCTCACTAATTTTTCCCACTCGGCTCCCCTCCTTTCCCCTATATTCCCTTTCACTATTTCTTTTTTTTTTTCTTAAAAGATTTTATTTATTCATGAGAGACACAGAAAGAGGGACAGAGACGTAGGCAGAGGGAGAAGCAGACTCCATGCAAGGAGCCCGATGTGGGACTCAATCCCGGGACCCCAGGATCATGCCCTGGGCCAAACGCAGATGCTCAACCGCAAAGCCACCCAGGCGTCCCCCCTTTCACTATTTCTTATATTCCCCATATGAGTGAAACCATATGATGTTTGTCCTTCTCCGATTGACTTACTTCACTCAGCATAATAATCCTTCAGTTCCATCCATGTACGTTGAAGCAAATGGTGGGTATTTATTTCTAATGGCTGAGTAATATTCCATAGTACATATATGAATGTTGATGGTTTAATTATTGTTGAAGCTGAGTGATGGGCACACAGATTTCATCGAACTCTTTACACTTTTATGTATGATTAAAACTGCTTTTGTTGTTAAAGCATTGTGTACTCAGAGTGGTAGGTAACAGAAAGTCCACTCTCCATCTTGAATGCCGTCACTTTTTATACATGGGCAGTGAGTGCTAGAAGCACCCTGGTTCCTCTCCTGTGTTAGAACCTGGTTCTATTGATCCTGCCACCTGGGCCTTGTGGCTAAAAGAACTGAATGACTCGCAGGCCAGAATTCAACAGCCTTGGATTCTGGGTCTCTTCTAGTTATGGAACTCTCAGCATTGAGCTTCTGCTCACTTGGCCTGGCTTGTCTAATCTGAAAAATTAGATTATCATTTCTCTATCTTCTTATTGAGCTTTATAAAGATCAGACAAGATCCAATTAAATTTGAAAACACTTCTGGATAGTTCCACGGCACTCAGAACTTATGTGTCTTAGAGTCCTCCTCATGGTATATTGAATTTGCCGGTTTACTCGTGACTCCCCACGCAACCTTAGATGCCTGCAGGTCTGTCCTGTTTACCATTTCACAGGGGGCCCCGGTGCCTGGCACATGGCAGGCATGGAAGCGTTTGTGGAATGGGTTAAAGTACCAATGTGTTACCATGAGTCATGCTGTTTGAGAAGTGATTTTACACTCTTGGTGGATACGAATCCTGTTTCCTGTGCAAATTGAGCTTTCAAAGTTGTCCATAGACACCTCAGAACCCACTGTTGAGACTCTGGTGGTACCTGTTAGACATGTCAGCCCTTTTGTGGTAAATCTTGCCTGAGGCTGTCCAAGTGCTGCTGAGCACCCTCCCGTCCGCGCCTGCTGACACAGGCTCATGAAGCCATAGCTGCCAGGATGTAACACTTTTCTTATTTTTTGTAGGTGCTGCCATGCTTACTGAATCCCTTCTCTTTGCTCCTCTATCACCTTCCGTCAGTGACTGTCACCAGCCTTCTGCAACAGCTCATGAACCTACCTCAGAGCGCAGCTGCACCAGCACCCTCCAACCCTCACCTCGCTGCTGTGCTCCAGAACAAGGTGCTCCTGCCCTTCTAGATTTCAGTTACACATGTTGGTGCTGCTTTCAGGGGTGCCTGAATGGCTCCATAGGTTATGCAGCCAGCTCTGGGTTTCAGCTCAGGTCGTGATCTCAGGGTTGTGAGTTCGAGCCCCGTGTCAGGTTCTGCGCTCACATGGTCTGCTGCAGTCCCCGTCCTCTGCCCCACGCACAATCTCTCGCTCTTTCTCTATCTCTAAAATAAATCAATCTTAGAAGCTTCTTTCAGTCAGGAGTTATGTTAAGCTCCTAGTGTCAACAAAATAGGATTTTCTGTATCTCACATAGAGTAGCTTGGGCACAGTGTCCACCTGGCATCAGGGGTGCAGGCCCCCCAGGTTTCTTGCTCTGCAGCCTTAGCAGTGGCTCCCACGCTCAGGACCACTCCAGCTCCACTGTGTCAGGAAGGTGCGTGCAGAGAGCTGGCTGCCTTGTTGGCACCTTTTTCCAGGAGTTCTGACCAGCGACTTCTACTTAATCTCAGTGGCCAGGGTTTCCTCACTTGCAACATGGAACTGCAGAGAAGGCTGGGAAACCTCTTAGTTCACACTGTTGTGGTCTCAGATAAAATCCTAATTCGAACACGAGGAAGAAAACACATCAGGTTCCTAGGGGGAGTGTAACAGAAGAGGAGACATGAACTTTCTGGACAGCTTTCTGTTTCCTACCCACGCTAGGTTTGTGACGCTGAGCACAGTTTCACTTCACAGCTGTACAGGGAGGTGACGATTCAGAGCACTCCTGTTGCTCTGTTGCTCCGATGAGCTCAGAACTGTGATGGTTCAGTGTGCTGCCTTTGTCCCAGTGGGCACGTGTGCAAGCACAGTGGAATGGGGAGTGTCAAGGCCCCTTTCCCCCCTGGCATCTGAAACCCTGTCAGGGCAGGACTCCAGGGTGGCAGGTACAGCAGGGGCTGGGAGGTAACAGGCTGTGGGCCTCCCATGGTGCGTGGTCTCTGAGATTTAGTATCGATAAGGGCAGCAGAAAACCATGTGGTCAGACAGGAGATGGTTCATGTATCCCAGTGTTGTTCTCTGATGGTGACCTGAGGGTTCTCTGGGAGGCGATCTCGGGAACCGGGGTTCCCTTCAGACCCGTCTCTGTGGTTCCATATATGTTATTTCCTGCCCCTTGTTCCTGTTCGTATTCCACTCTGTGCCCCTCGACCATACGTGTCCCACCGGTACTGCCTACTGAATCGGGCACATCTTCAGTCTCTGCAGCAGGTTGTTAAATCTTAACCGTCCCAGACATGTGATGTATCTGAGTCCTTCTCTGCCTCTATTGGCCCAGCAGTTGTGTCCTTTGTTCAGGAAACTTTCTCAGGAGACTCGAGGAAAGCTTTTCATACCCTCATCATTTCAGTGACCTCTCTGTGTACGTTTTCCCACTGGTCTTCACATCTTTTGTCTTTATTCAAAATATCTTCATCTATTAAATGTTTTTTTTCTTTTTCTGTGAACTTTTAGTTTTCTGTATCAGAGTTCTTTGACTTTCTTTTTAAATCCATTTGTTTTAGTAAAAGAAACACTAAGTCCCACGTTATCTGTGGCAGAGAAAAATTACCTTTTCATCTGACTTTGGGGTGGGGAAGCAGGGAGGACGCTTGGCACTGGGCCCTGCCCTTTCGTTGATGATGCCGTCACTGCTCTGCTGAAGTGGAGGCAGGAGGAAGACACAGCGTCCCAGCTCACGGCTGCCCCAGTCTGCCAATCCCACAGCACAGTGGTAGGGCCACCTTGATGTAGTGCTGCTCCGGGTCTGATGCTGGGACCCTGTCCGCGGTGCTGGAGGATTGGGTGCGGTGCTGAGTGGGATTCCCTCTGTCTCCTGTAGTTTGGCCTGTCACTGCTCCTCGTCGTCCTGAGCCGTGGGGAAGACCTGCAGAGTTCAGACCCTGCCACGGAATCAACACAGAACAACCAGTGGTCAGTCCAGGCTGCATTTCTTCCTTCACATTCTTTAAGGTGCTCCCTTTGTTCTTCTCATGTTCTCATCTGCTCTTAATGGTTTTCCTTTCAGGACAGAGGTGATGTTCATGGCAACCCGGGAACTTCTGCGGATTCCCCAAGCAGCCCTGGCCAAGCCCATCTCTATGCCCACAAACCTGGTGTCCCTGTTTTCTCGCTATGTGGACCGACAGAAACTGAACTTGCTGGAGACAAAGCTGCAGTAAGTGAGACAGCGCAAATCTACATCTCACTAACGTGGGCACTGTAGGAGTTAGGGGGAGAAGGTGGGGGGCGGGAGGACACTGCAGGAGTTGGGGAGGAGGTCAGGGGCACCAGGGCAGTGCAGGAGTCAGGGGGAGGAGGTTGGGGGCACCAGGGCACTGCAGGTGTTGGGGAGGAGGAGGTGGGGGGCACAAAACTGAATTTGGTGGAAGTGGTTAAGGACCCATATGCATATGTGAGCATCTCCCAGCGACAGGACGCTGTGTGGGGTACAGAAGCATCCTCACAGTTCACTGAGCAAGGGAGGGAGTGTGTCAGTATTCTGTTATGAGAATTCTAACAAGGGTGTGACTAATGCAAACAATCACCTTCTGTTTTGACTCATCTATGCAAGTGTCCTTTCTGTCTCTTTTCACCCGTAGGCTCGTTCAGGGGATCCGATAAAAGGTCTCCACCTGCAGCCTGGACCTCCTTCTGGCTGCCACCTGCACTGCCGCCGTCATGATGGAGTGTTTTTAATGAGGGAGGGAAGGTAGCTTATTCCCCAAAGCGTCTCGTGGACGGATTCCGGTCACAGGGGTGGTCTTCCCCTGCCAGGTGTTTCCCCACTGCTCTGTGACACTTGGCTGGGCGATTCTCCTGCTGGTTCCTTCCTACCTTCTGTGTTACAATTCTGCATGTCCTGCTTTTCCTCTCAATTCTTCTCAACTTTGCATTTTCTTTGCCCTAGAGACACAAATGTAATCTCTCCCCTTACCCCACCCCACGATGCCAGTTCAGAGTAGACCGTAGCCTGCCACAGGGTTCCTGCCCTCGTCCTATTCAAGTCTTCTTTCATTGCCCCATATCAATACAACTATAGGAGAACCAATTAAGTAGAAACCAATATATATATATATATATATATATATATATATATATATGCACTCTCTCCACATACGTTCACGTGGTGTCCAGAGGACCCTTAAAGAACGAGTTTTAGATTGAGGAATACGTAGTTGACAGGTCCCTTCTCTAAAAACAGATCAGCCAATGTATTTTTAATCTGTTTCTAGTCCATCTCGTAATTAATTTGGTGGTTTTGCTTGTTTTAATCTAAATACAGGGTATGCAGCACGTGAATAAAATCCGAACTCTTACTTGGCTGGCACCCAGCTCTAGGCTGAGAAGTACTGTGTCTCCTCCCTGCCCTATTCCCTTTGTATCTATGTGTCCCCTGTCATCGTTGTGCCCCCCCTCCACCCCCACCAATGAAATGGCACTGGGTTAGGCCCTTCTTCTGCAACCACCACTGTGTGCTGGAGCATGTCCCTTCAGGAGTGCAGGGTTGCCCCAGATGAACCGGACGTACAGCCTGCTTCCACAGCGTAGCATTGGCGCACTTGCTCTGTCTTCCTGACACAACTTCAATAAAGCCATGCTTTTACTTCCCTCTTCCCCTTTATTATTTGATGTCGTGGGTAGTAGCCTGCACAGGTGACCACAGAAGGTAGTTGGGCTGGTATGCTCTGCCGGCCCCTCTACAGCACAGCAGAACTGCTGTCCTTCCCCTTCGTCTGCAGGTCCCCTCCTGGGCATCAGGGGCCTGGCTCTAGTCCCAGTCTGTTCTGGCCGAGCAGCCGGCCACTCCGGACCCCATCCCCCTCCTTCTCCTGCCCCCCCCCCCCCCCATACCTCCATCCTCCCCACCCGTGCAGCAGCCAAGCAGGAAGAGGCCTTTGCTCTCCAGTCATTACAGCCCTCCAGAACATTAAATCAGCATCCATTTTACATGGCTGTCCTCATATACTGTATGCTACTCTCACCTTCTCAAATGTTAGTGAGGGGACACATGATGATGCTCAGAGAGAATCAACCGTTTGCACATGCGTGTGTTGTCCTGCAGTACTGTCCTGTTACTCCGCTGTCCTTGCTCCCATCTCTGCCCCCACCCCCACCCTAGGCCCCAGCCCCCAGCAGCTGCTCCCGACCACTCGACCTAGCTCCCCCCGCAGCCCTCACCTACTGACTGTTTCCACCACGCGCCTTCCCTCCCTTCCCCTCACAACGGATCAAGTGAATACTTGACTTATTTCTTCCTTTCTGTGCTTTATCTTTTTTGTTTGGTTCTAATTAATAAAAATTAAAGTTTCTAAATTTACATTTTTATAGGGTATTGTAAATAAAAACAAATTGTATACTTGAAGAATCATGTGCCTGCATTTCTACTTCTTGTTTCTTCTTGTCCAAACATGATGGCAGACGTGTTCTAGCCTGTTCCGTGGACTGGCGAAGCTCTCAGTGTGGGTGGTCAGTAAGGACCTTAACCTCTGTGCTGCTGTGAGGGATGCAGGTTAAAGACCTTCTGCTGCAGAAACGGATGGCAGGTTGTGGTGGATGCACCATGCAGTCCCCTTGGCATCCCATCCACCTCTAGGCTCGGGTGCCTTTACAAGCTGTCCTGCAGCCCATCTTGGCCTACTGCTGCCGGCCTGGCTTGCTCATCTCCCAGGACACAGGCCAGAGTGGATCATTCTTTGCAGTAAATCTGTGTCGTTGGAGATGGGGTGTTATCTTCACTCAGACGCACTCCAGGTCAGAGATGCGGCCCTCTGCCCTCACTCTGCCCTCGTGGTGTGTGCACCTGACTCTTCCTTGCCACATCTCCTGAGACTTGCAGGATCAAGCAATTTCTGGCCAAAAAATAACAGAATCATCCCATTCCTCAGTGGGTTGGAATGGAAAGTAGTACTAAAAAACTTTCCGAGAGATCTCTCCGTCTCCAACTGCTCCTCCCCTACTCTCTCCCAAATAAATCTTAAAGAATCAGTGAATATAATCCTCTAAGAAAGGATATTAAGTAGTAACAGACTTGTGAATAATAATTTTTAAAAAGGGAAATGCAAATGAATAAAACTAAGTTCACCCTCACCCACAATAGAGAAGTAACAAGATACTTTAGTACCTATGAAATTAACAAAATCTTTAAAAATAACGCAAGTGAGAAGAGGCTGCCACTCGAACTGGTAGGAGAAACTACATTTCTGGAAGTCCTTTGGAAGTATTCACAGCCTCTAATTGGGCTTTAGAAATCTAAGGAAAGTCTAAAGGAATGATAACTGCCACGTTATTTTAATAGAAAAATTACAAGGAACCTAAATACCCAGTCTTGCAATAATGGTTATGTAGATGATCAGCCATGTGTCACAAGAAAGCAGAATATTTAATCATGAAAAGATACCGGATGGGGGAAAAGCGTAAAGTATATATGCTTTTAATCCAATCTTTTTTTAGAAGATTTTATTCATTCATGAGACAGAGGGAGAAGCAGGCTCCCAGGAGGGAGCCCGATGCGGGACTCGATCCCAGGACCCGGGGTCACACCCTGAGCCAAAGCTAGATGCTCAACCACTGAGCCACCCAGGTGCCTGAACCCAATTATTTTTTAAAGAAAATGCATCTACAATGGAAAAAAATACCTCAGGAGGGGAGGGTATGTTCTGAATGGTTACTGATGTCTGTTTCCAGCTGTGGGAACACAGGAAACAAGTTTTGCTTTTCATCATTTTCTGTAGAGAAAACGCTTTGCTTATATCCTTGGGAGAATTTTTTTTTTTTAAGATTTTTTTATTTGAGAGAGCAGGGGGAGGAGAAAGGAGGGGCAGAGGGAAAAGAAGCAGACTCCTTGCTGAGCAGGGAGCCCAATGCGGGGCTCCATCCCAGAACCCTGAGATCATGACTTGACCCGAAAGCAGACATGTAACCCACTGAGCCACCCAGGCGCCCCGGGAGAAATACATTTTTTTTTTCGGGAGAAATATTTTTAAGAAAAAATCACCTTTGAAGAGTAACTTTGCCACAGGAAAATACTAAGAATACAGTGTTAAGTGTAAAATAGGTTCTGTATGTGTATGTGTGTGATTTAATATGTATGAAGGGGGGAAAATGGGGAAAAATGCCATCGAAGGTGACAACGTAGCAGTGGTGGCCTTTAAGGAGATGTTTGCAGAGGATCGTGTGCAGGGGTGATTATTCCTTTTTCCATATTTTCCAAATTGTCTTCAGTGACCATGTATTGCTATTCTAGCCAAAAGGGTGCTTCGATTCCTCTCTAAGAACTAAAAATACTAGTAGTCTTCTATTCCTAGTGAGAAAATAAGTTACAGCAGGGCGTCTGATGCGGTCGTGCTGGACTTCAGAGCCTAAGCGTTTGACGTTGCAGCAGCGGATCAATGTGGCCCGGGTCTGAAACCGTCGTGTGAGAGCCAGGCGGTCACCCTGAGAAACGCCGTCATCTCCCTCTAAGAAGGTGTACCATGCCAGAGCGTCCACGTGTCCAAGCTGGATCTTCCAGAAGCTTCCTGGTTAAGTTGCACTGGTTTCCAAACTAGCTTGAATCAGGAAGGATCCCGGCTCCATCTCCAGAAAGATGAAGTGTCAGCCAGCTGGCTTGCCCTGAAGTTGCCCGTCTGTCACGAGGAAGACGTGACTCTCTGAATCTGATACGGAGAACTGGCCGCCTTCTGCCATCTGCTCGTGGAGGGCAGAGGAGTCCACCGTGGGGGGAGGGCAAGCAGGGAGCTGAGGGCAACTTCTCTTCCTCTGGGCCCAGCTACATTTGAAGTATATGAATGTCGTGACCTTTGGGAGACTACCATGAGGGTGTGTAGGAAGCAGGTCTTTAATCTGAGGAACCAGCATCTGAAAATCGCCCAACAGCTTGGTTTTGACCCTTCTCCTTCCTGCAGAAGCACAGCTGTGAATCGTTTGTGGGTCTCATAACAGCTTCTGCTTTGCTTTTTGTTTTGCAAATGCTGCACATGAGGCTGTTGGAGTAGCTTGTCTTTATTATTGTCTGTGACTCTGCAAGCTCCCACCTCAGCCACCTTCATTCTCCAAGGCAATGTTACCCTCACTCAGACCTGAGGGCCACGAAACTTCCAGAAGGAAGCTAGGTAATCATTGATGTTTGTCCTTGGCCAGTTGTGAATACAACACTCTTAAATTGCGTAGATGTTGAGCCAATCTAAAGAAACAGAGAAATCCGGGAAAGTATCTCAGATTCCACCCTCCCCCAGAAAACATACCACTAACAGTTTAGTATATCATCCTCCAGGTGACTTCTCTATGCATATACATGCATAGTCAGAATTACAAATTTTTTTACCTTGTTTTTTCTCCATAATACATCATGGACATCTTTCTATGTCACTATGTAAGAGCTCCCTTGTTTTGTTTTTTTAAGATTTTTTTTTTAAAGTAATCTCTACACCCAATGTGGGGCTTGAACTCACGACTCTGAGACCAAGCATCCCATGCTCCACCGACTGAGCCAGGTAGGTGCCCCAGCCACCCTGGCTTTCCAACAGTTGTGTAGTGTTCTGCGTGCCATTGAACCATCGTTTATTTAACTGCTCCCCTATTAACAGGATTCAGTCATCAGATACTCTTCATCGTTGTTCATCCAGCAGCACACAAACGTAAACCCACAATGTCACCTGACAGCTATTTTGTAGTGTACAAACAACACTCACACTCATCTTCTTGTCAGTCCTCCCTACAACCTTTTGGAGTGGGATGGGCTATTCTAAGGGTCCCCTGCCAAACCTGTAGCGCAGAAGACCATCCAGCAGGTAAGGGCTGACACTGTTATTTTAACTTTACGTTCTAGGCTGCACATCTAGTGTCCTGGCCACTAGAAGGCTCCTGCGCCTAATCCATGCTTTATATAGGAGCAGCTGAAAAGCTACAAGCATTAAGGACACATCTGCAAAGTCTTCTGAGGGGATTTTAACGCCTTCATTCTCAGGCAAACCAAGCAGTTGCCTCTCAGCAACATCCAAAAATGGGGCGACTGAAGTGGTCATTATGGGGCCAGCTGCATTATATAAGGATGAGAGGTACAGCTGTCAGGCATCTGCATGGTCCTTTACTGGAAACAATCGGTCTGCCTGTGTGATGCCTGCTTCAAACTACATTGTCACTCACTTTATCGCCACAACCCCTAGGTCAGGAACAATCTGGCAACAAAGGAAGGCCCTGCTCTGGTGCAGCCTGTGGTCTCAGGAGGGTACTTACAGGTAATGATGGCTTGCCCAGAGAATAAAGGGCAATGGAGTGGAGTAATGGGAGGATTAGTACTTTGTTGGTGGTGGTTTTTGTTTTTTTTTTTAAGATTTCATTTATTTATTTGAGAGCCCAAGAGAGAGGACAGGCAGGAGGAGCAGCAGAGGGAGAGGGTAGAAGCTGGCTCCTCGCTGAGCAGGGAGCCCGATGTGGGGCTCCATCCAGGACCCCGGGATCGTGACCTGAGCGGAAGGCAGATGCTCAGCCGACTGAGCCACCTAGGTGCCCCGATTGGTACTTTAGATAGTGGTCAGGAAAGTCTTTGTTGAGCAGGCACCATGTGAGTAATGACAAGAGGACAGCTGTGTGAAGGGCTCAGAAGGGCATCCCCAGGCAAAAGGAAGATCGCCAAGGCCCTGAGGAGGATGAGGACCTCAAGGACCACAGAAGGCTGAGGCTGCTGGAATGAAGGGGGACAGAATGACCACATGGGGCCTTAGAGGGATTCGCTTTCATTGCAAGGGGAAGCCTCTGTGGAGTGTTTAAGGAAAAAGCACAAAACAAAACAGAATCTGATTTATGCTTTTGAAAATCATTGCAGAGTTGAGCTGGCCACAGGCACGAGGAGGGGCCGCTTAGGAGAGGGCCTCATGGCACTATTCTGGTCTGCAGAAGACTGAACCTTAGAAGGCAGTGACTGAGAGCATCTTTTTTTTTTTTTTTTTAATTAGATTGAAGACAGCCCTTACCTTTGGGAGTTTAGGGGAATGGGATTCAGATGAAGATGTAGGAAACTGGCTGTTTTGTATTTATGTTGAGTGGTGGATTGGCGGGTATTCACTTCACTCTTGTGTTTCACAGCTTTTGTGTATCATACACATTCTGTGTCTGTTGGGGCCGGATTGTGTCTGTCAAAACTCACATGTTGGAGTCCTAACCCCCAGGGCCTCAGAACGTGGCTGTATTTGGAGATGGCGTCTTCAAAGTAAAGAGGTTAAGTGAAAATGAGGCCATTCCAACACACACATGAGAAAATGCTCCACATCACTTGCCATCAGGGAAATACAAATCAAAACCACAATGAGATACCACCTCACACCAGTGAGAATGGGGAACATTAACAAGGCAGGAAACCACAAATGT